AGTGATATAATGGAGTGCACAGAAAGGTGAAGGGAATGAGAAGTTGGCAAACGTGCAGTAGGAATGAAATTAATACATGAAAGTGCGAATGGATCTCATATGAATACTGAAGTCACTTCACGCTTTAACGAGAGTGTCATTGAATACATATCAAAATAATTATCTAAGAACACCTCGGTATATGAAGATTGATATTTATGCGCAAACGTTTTGATCGTCAAAGTAAACCAACAACACCACATTAGGTTTCTTATTCTTTGTATGACTGCCAATTTTTTTCATCAATCACAATTTTACGTTCATTAGAAAACATTTTTCACTTCGTTGACTGATTTTCCTATCCTCTGGTTACTGTTCAGTATGTTATTAAATCTGTGTAAGTCTTCGACATTGGACGCCGACCACATTAGTTTTAATGGACTCATCTAGCTGAAGGCGCTCAGTCAGGTATCCGCACCAGATCACAAGTGGGAACGCCATGCTCAAAATTCCCTGCAATCGCTAGCCAGTCTAGACCAGTCATTTCTCGATATATTGATAGCCTATCAAATATATCTTCGAACCTCCTCACTTCTGACTTTTGATTTCACCAAGTTGGTACGATTCATAGTAGAAGGTGTTACTGGTTGAAGCGTTGTCAAACTCCAAATACCGTTGGCATCTTCACTTTCCTACTGACTGTTATATATATATGTATCCTGTAAACGTTTTGTAAGATCTCTCAAGAAATATGATTTATTTCTGCCTGTTGTCTTCCCTTACAATAGGACACTAGAAAAGCCATAGAAAAAGAGGAAGTATCTTGATGAATGTAAGATTGATTATTCTTAGAGTTTATAAAATTGGGTAGTTTTGTTTAGGCATCTACTTGAACACTTGTTACCGGCTTTGGAACTCTACATTTAACCCAATATTTCTTCGAAATGTGAATAAGAACAACATAGAAGAGACTACGAATGTGACTAGAACCTTCATAACAAGGTTAATTTATATACCTACAATAAGCTTATCAACGAATTTTTTGATAATTTTCATACTCTATAAACGTCTCAGAATATGGCAAGTAAAGAAACGCAGTAAGCATTTACCCGGTAACAGCTTGATGCAAACAAGTTTGAATAAGATGACATGTTCACATTTATTTAGTATTATACACTTACAATAGTAAATGTACTGTATTTCATGGGTTCTCGTAATAATGAGAAGACGAAGAGCAAGCTATGTGATGAAAAATGATTCACATCACAGCACACATGAACTACTCAGCAGTAGTAAGTGATATAATGGAGTACACAGAAAGATGAAGGAGTGAGATAAATGAAGTTTGAATGGGTGAATTGGAGGTGAGGGTCATTGCTGATCGGTACCATTGGTTCAAGTAAGTATGTAAAATAAATGGCCGCTTTAATAACAGTATATTCAGGCGTACAATATTGTTCTCAATTAGATACTCATCAGGCTCATTCTAATATACTGTAATATTTATATTCACATGCGAAATGATAACACTAATGAAGTCAGTTGAGTCAATGATAACAGTGGAATAAATGATAAAATTGTACAATACAAATGAGAAGCACAAATTGAGTGATGAAAGGTGTAGCAGTTGTGATACGAATATTGTAGGTTTGAATCCATGATTCATAATAGGAAGTTTGTGAGTGACTTGAAAAATGTACAAACTGAAATAACCATGAGATTAACTAACCAGAAGTGCTCTGGTAATTGGAAGACGAAGTATGTGTTTGGAAGTGTAGGATGTGGCAGGTAATGGAAGAGTAAACGAACGTAGATTGTGGAAATTAATAATGGCAATAATTCTGGAAAAGAAGAGTCTTAGGATCTTTGGGAAGAACATCCAATTCGGCTGGAATTCGTTTTATCTCTTGTAGTCAGCCCATGATCGGAAGTTATGTGAATGATACATTCTTATTTCAGGCAAGACCAATTTACATATTCCAATCTACATGCCCACTCGTAGCTTGAAATCTCGGGCGCACAAAAGGAGCTCTCTCGAAATGCATCTGTGAATATTCCTCCGTGTGACTTTCCAGAGGATTGAAGAAGTCAGTTTAAAGCTCAACGTTGGACAATCTGGTCAAGTTCTAATCATTTCAATCGACTAGAAGCCTCCCTAAAAATCATGTTCACAGTCCGGTAATTCGAAGCCGGTATGGATGAAAATAAAGAGCGTATGTACAGAAGAGGCGATTGCTGTCCAGCAGATCAAGCCTTAACTTTGCATACAGAACAATATGTTCAATCTCTCATTGCTCCTTGATCATAAACGTCATTATTTTCGTGGTCTAACTTTTATACATTACAAGAGAATGGTTTAAATTTGAATGTAAGAATACACCAAGTCACAAATGAGAAGACAAAAAACAGGTGAAAAGGAATGCTATTTCAAGCAGTGCTAATTGTGATACAATACTGTCAGATATTTATAGTTTTTTCTAAAAAACGAAATCATCATTATAGTTCTCCTATCCACATACAGGGGTTGTTTACATTTGTCCATTAGGAAAGCTACACGTAAGGATTCTGAGATATTCTCTCAGAAGATGAGTGGATGTAAGGTCTTCAGCTGTTTCTGAGTTTCGTAGAGCTTCCTCAACTTCATAATAAAGTAGAAGAGTACATGATTTGTCATCATAATTGTTTCTGAACAACATTTAGTATGGACAGGTTTGACTTAACCTGATTCACCATGCACAACGGTCTCTAATTCCGTCTCATCGTCAATGTGCGAACAGAATTTACGACTCAATATCCTGATGATGATTCCCATAACCACAATACACGCTTCACGATTAAACCACATTGTCTCAAAACCAAGAAACTCAATCACAGTAATCCATCAAGCATATGAATCCTCATCTTGTGCCGCTTAAAAAAGACCACTTTATGTGGCTTTTTATGATGCTCGAAGAATCACAACTGTCAAAGAAATTGTGTTGAATGTCATCATAGGTTGAACGTGATAGTGTTCAGTCTACAAATATGCAACTCTATTCATGTAGATTGAGTGGAACACGCAAATCAATTTCATCCTCAAATTCTTCTCAAAAATATCATTCATTCCTAAATATTCACACTCACACCAAAATTTCACCACTTATTTCAACTTATAGTCCCCACTGCAAAACATAACACAATTTACATAATCCATTAATCCCAAACACATGACCATTATGAAGAATAGTGGTACGACCCGTCATATTCTGTTTCTGTCCTCATGAGGTTATATGAAAACGGACAATCGACGTGCGTATGGACTTGTTTGTATGCGCAGATTGAAGAACTCGTTGGAGCATGAAGTGGCTTCAGTATTCATATGAGATCCACGTGCACTGTCATGTATGTTTGTTTGCCTTCTACAAAATATTCATTTTCAAAGCTCTTATCTGGTTGGTCATTTCTAGTTCATTCTCATACTGTGCCCATATTTATTGTAGTATAAATACGAATCGGTTTTTAATTCAGTCAACTGGGTAATTCTTATGAAATGTAAGTTTTGGTTAGTAATTGTATAATGGCCTATACATATTATTTTGATAAGCGTCCTACACTTGACATTGATGAGTTCCACTTCTCATAAATGTTCACGAGAAATCATGAAATGGCATCAGAAAGCTAGTCACATTCTCACATGTGACGCAATATCGTAAGTTCCATTTTGTGTGGCTAGGTCGTAGATGCAAATGAATGCTGAATATTCTCGAGTTAAGACAAAATAATGAAATAGTGATCCCCGGTTTTCGGAAGTGATCTGTCTCAGATCATTTCGTGGGTTTGACTGAAAATTTTAAAATCTCTATTGAGCTCTGTACTGATAAGTTTTGATGAAGAGACAGATAAGTCAGGAGTGTGCCGACTAAGTTCTCAATGTGCTTGCCATATTCAGATTAATGCTTACAATAGTGTTGATATCAGTGATCATAAAACTTATTGGATAATAATAAAAATGGTTTTGAATGGGATCGTGAATGTGTAATGTTGAGGAGTCTTATACTAGGCGGAACGGTCGTCCAATGCTTCCACGTTTGCAATGCTGATCTAGTTTAGATGGACTCGTGAATTCATCTGTTAGAATAAATTTGTGTTATGAAAATACAAATGCTCGGCATGAATGACGATGGGAAGGATAAGTTCACAGTTGGGGTTCTCTCGTTCCACTGAATTCAACGCTTTCATAGATGTTCTGAATTTCTCTGGGTTATATTCGCACCGAGTGCGACATACCGAAGTTGTGAGTAAACGAAGAGTTCATACGTCTCCGATCGAATCATTTGTAGGAGTGTTCAATTGAGGTGTCGCAACTTGAACGACAAATGAGATTATGACCGTTGATTAGTGACGTTTTTATTTATTATTATTATTAGAAGCTTTATTCAACATTATATTTTTGGTACAACATAGAATTCTCAGCATAAAATATTTCAACAAGTTTCCTTGTCTTATACCTTGATCGATTGTGACGATAAATTTTGAATGATGACCAGTTAGATGTTAGAAGTTTGGTAATCCACATTTGATTACTGTTCATTTGTTTCAATGCATATTGCCAGCAACCATGATGTCTCTGATTGTACCTTCTTGTATCCCGTATAGCGAAAGGTTGTAAACTTTTCATAAACGCGCCTGAATAGGTTGTGCGCACAATAGACATAGTGATGTGCTAAAACAAACAACAAAACAGATAACTTGATGAAATATCTAGATCGGTGGAACAGGTAGCCCAGATATTCAAGCAGGCCGCCAACCGAATCACTTAAGTACACATTCGAGATTCATGTTTTCAACCTTGTGAATTGAATGGCATACGCGAATGTGATGCGTGTTGAAAGAGTTCGCATATCAAAGGACATTGTTTTGATGAAATGAATTTGTTGATTTTGTTTCGATAAATCGATATTTGACGTTGTTATACATCTCAATGAAATTACACTTCAGTCAATTCTCGATTAATAACTCATCATTTTTACTATTTAGCTGGCATGTTTACAGTGTTAACGATAGTTTCGGGAGCAGTCATCCTCACTCTGAATTGTGTGATGTGTCTGGACAATGGGTTGGCTAGAACACCACCAATGGGATGGAACACATGGCAAGTATTCGGCTGTCAGTTGAATTGTCAGAGGTATCCAAACAACTGTCTTAATGAGGATGCAATCAAACGAACAGCCGATAAACTGGTATCGGATGGTTGGCGAGATTTGGGTTATAAATATGTGATACTTGATGATTGTTGGTTAGCAACACAACGTGATCCGATAACGAATAGGATTATGGCAGATCCTTCAAGATTTCCGGGCGTAAGTTGATGCATATCGTTGGATATATAATGTAGACAATTTATGTATGCTGTTTCAAGATTATGAAATCATGCTAATCTAAATTAATCACTTCAATCAGACCATTGATTTAGTTTAAATTTTTTTTTTCATGAATGACTTCGCAGTGTGATTTATACCGTAACTGCTTTTATCATGAACGACATAGCTTTCCCAGTATAAATCAATTTGTTGTTATAGATCTGATTGGTTATGGAGTATTTTCCATTTGATTTAATCTTTGTTAAATTATATTGTGTTCTATGTTTATAATTCGTATATATTAACACTTCGTTTCTAGGGTATTGAATATATTGCAAAATATCTGCATTCCAAACAACTGCTACTCGGTGTAACTCTTGGTTACGGGGCCATGACATGTTCTGGTTATCCAGGAAGTATAAATCATTTGGAATTGGATGCGAAAGCAGTGGCTGAATGGGGAGTAGATTATGTGAAGATGCTTGCCTGCCACTCTGCGGAGAATACAGTACCAGATGGTTTTGAAAAATTTACCAGATTACTCAATGCAACTGGCAGGCCGGTAATGCTTTTGTGTACTTATCCAGCATTTAGCTATTGGCTTTAAAACTTTAATTTGATTGACTGGAAAAGATTACAAAATAATTGTAATTTGTGGCGAGTGACGTTCAACGTGCAAAACAACTGGGAATCTATAATCGATGGTATAAATAGATATAAACTTCGCAATGATATTTTGCCGAATGTGGCTGGTCCCGGACATTACAATGATCCCGATATGTTAGTCTTGGGAAACAACGGACTTTCAAATGATCAAAAGCGAGCTCATATGGGCATGTGGTGTATGTTCGCTTCTCCACTACTGATCTCAGCTGACATGTACAAGGTGGATGAATTCAGTGCATCTCTGTTACGTAACAAACATTTGTTGGCGATAGATCAGGATAAAGGTGGACATCAGGCGGAATTCGTGAAAACACGAAATGATGTACAGGTGAGTTGATGCATTAGATTGGAATTCTTATAAATATGTCTTGAGATACTCTTCTTTCTGTCGTAAAATCGTTGACAGAAAGTTCCAATGACGAGAAGCGACTTTCAATAATTCATCATATATTTGAACACAGTATATCGTACTAAAATGGTAGAACGACACAACAGCATTTATATACACTAACTAAATATATTTCATAAATTAGTCGGCTGACACGATCATTAGTTTGTTAATGTATCCAATCACTACCGGTGCAGCTGAAATTATGTAGCTGTCAAGTATAGCAACCAACTACGTGTTTTCATTACTTGTTCTTCAACTAGGTCACGACATGTCGTTAACAACTTTTTCATTTATCAGTGTACTGAATATTAACAGACGTTTTTCATCTATTCACATATTTCTGTTTATACAGTTGTGGATACGAAAATTAGATGATTGTCCAATTGGTTGGGCAATCGCTTGCATCTACACAAAGGTTGATGGAGGACCAATCGACTTTAGCACGAATCTGGATGAATTCAAATCACAGATGTATACAATATCAGGAGATAAGTTTGAATTACTGGATGTATTCACGGGTGATAGATTCAAAGACGTGAAATTGACAGAGAACTTTACGATTTCCATCAATCCATCTGGAATAATGATGTTTCGAATCATTCCGTTCCATTTGATTACCAGTTTTCAGTAAATTGGTGATAGTTTTTACTAATTGTTCGAAGCGAATTTCGATGTTCTGTTGATTGTCAGATTGATAAGTAACTATTCTCAGGCTAATGGTTTTACAATTCACACTTAATTTGCTCAATTAATGTGAAATTTATTTTACTCAGAAAATAAATGATTGTAATTCGCCTTTTTTCTTTCAATGTTCTTTTTAGACTATAAACTCGTATCTTAACATGTATCTATTTCTCTATTAGTGAATGAATGATCAACAATAGACACCTTAATCGTCTATTGAAATTGTGTGTTGTCTTAAATAGAAGAATATTTACGATAGATTAGATGTGTATCTGCGTGGTAGCATCACACAATCTGCTTCTTGACATGTGATGGAATCTGTCACAGGACATCAGTTCCCTCAAGATTACAGGTATATGTGATAAACAGGAGTACGTGAATTATAGTAAAAACTAAAAATCCCATATGTAGAGCAATTGCAGCAAGAAGTATTAGATAAGCACGAACGAATGCACTGTATTTAGAATCAAAATCAAGCATTCAACAAGTACAAAGGAATTGTTAGTTCATATAAATATCACATCCACCATAGCTTAAATAAGAATTCAAATTTTTGCAATAAATTGCACCTCTTCTTCGTAGGTTCATCGTGTCTGTCCGACCATGTATCGAATGTAGACTCTGTATGATCTAGAATATGCTCATTAGTATTACAATTAGCAACAAAGTCGGAACAGATTCACCAAGGTCCTGAGGTTGTATACCATCACCATATCGGTGAAGAATGATTAAAAAAATCGGCATCTATCAAAGCTACATCAGGTTTTCGATCATGACTAGGTTCATTCAACATACTGTCCTCAGATTTGTGGGGAATTTCGCAAGAAATATGGGAATTATTAGTACAAACCATATTTGGTACAATAACATGAGGAATCTGATAATTTGATTGGTTATAAACTGGTTTCTCACAAGGATTTCGGGTTTCATTTATATCTGGTCCACCACGTGACTCTATGTCGCTTTTTGAAGTCGTGGATAAAGATAAATGATCATCAGAAACATCCAACTTAATAGGATCAGAATTACAGATTATAGCATCAGTTACAGCGGAATGAACCGTGGTATGACAAATCGACTGAATGTGTCCAATCTCATCATATTTAAAGCATTGAGAATTACGAAATACAAACGAATTAAACATGTGAAACTTGCCGGAGCACAAACATTGACCAAACGTGTGCCTATCTACGTGAACTTCATCGCAGCTTTACAGTGAACTACCTGCGTAACCTTGAGTATGAACTGGATTCGGGTGACGTAGTAATGTAGTGGAATTTTCGATGTCCTAGTAAATCATTTTACGAAATCTTTCTATACTGCATTCGAAAGTTGTATACTTAACACAGTCTAGCAGTAGATCCTTGAGAGTTGTACAAGAAAGCGAATTGGGCTTTTCCGGCAAAGCCAGAGTTTTTAATAAGCTATATGTTTCTTTTCCGATGAATGTGGGGAAATGTGCCACAATATTAACGTCCTCAACTTCTTCCTTGGTCAAAAGCCAGATTTTAAACCTTTCAAAGTAATCCTCAAAAGCATCAATATCTGAATGTACATCCAATAATTCCATCACAGGCTCCATTGCGACGCCAATCTGATAATAAGAAGTATTGGAATTATAGTACGAACTAGGAATCCCAGAAATAACGCAATTAAATTAAGAAGTACTGGATAAGCACGAATTAATGTGCTGTATTTGGAATTCGAAATCAAGCATTCAACAAGTACAAATGAATAGTTAGTTCATATAAACACCACAGTACACCTTGCTTACGAGTGTCAAATAGCACGAAACCTAGGCCCAGGGTATACTGTCGACAACCTCTTATCGTCTTCTCATCTCTACATAATGCATGCAGTTTCGAGTAACTTAGACCAGTAGTCATATTGCAACTTAGTCGATCTCCATTTTAATTTGTGTTATAAAGCAACTGTTCATTAGTCGGCTCATATGATGTCGATCGACTTCACATTCATATTGAAATAAACTCAACAGCTTACGGTGAAATGTAGACACCATCTACACAACAAACAAGTTTCAGGAATACTTAGAGTCAACTATCAGATTTTATAGTTGGTCATTTCAGGTTGTGAATGAAGTCTTTCAGAATCTTATTGATCTACCATTGACGATATTGAGGAATACAGAATAGCTGATTAGCAATCGGATGCACATTGAATAGTTTCAAAATGTGTTATTCCTCTTCTTCCAGCTACCTAAACTGAAACCAGATGATGGTGTAGGTGAAGTTATTATAATGGCTGAATACTTTGCAGCAGTGACCATTACACACGACCAAGCTCACAAGCATGTAACTGAGTGGATAGTCCTGAACTGCACCGGCCACTTTTGACTTAGATTGGCTAAAATGTTTCGTTAATATCATCTGAACATAAAACCATTTTTTATGGAATACCGATTGTCTTTACACACTACTTTGCCAGCACAATCACTACTAACATCAATTTGTTTACCTAAATTAGCAAAAATATTCCATGCGTCGTATTCTTTAAAAAAAATTATTGAGATTTCAGTAAATGCTTCTGAACATTGTTCTATCAAGAACACGAATAAATAAACATGATGAGTGGTCATGGCTTCTAAATGCACTGATCTTCCTAATATTTCTAAGAAAAAGGAAGAAAATCACCCATTTTGAAAGGCTTGACTATCGCATTATAATAGTCACTTGAAAAGCAGTTTATAATGTCTGGATCGTATTTCCTTTAACTTTAATTTGAGAAGAGCTAACTAGGATCTGACAAAACAATATATTAGTCCATTTATCGCTTTTGCAGACAATTATTACTGTATAGTCTAGTCGTTCATGAATATTCTCTGAAATACAACATAACGTAAGAAGAGTCTGTTAGCCCATAAAAGCTTAATCGGTAACTTTAATATTCAACTTTCAAATCAATGATCTCTATCTTCGATAAAGCACGAAAATTTGTCATCAAATACTGAACGTTATTCGTGCCAAATGCATTAGGCTAATGAACACTTCGCATTAATTTGCGTATTACTGTTTTATTATACTCCATGAATATACTTGATGAGTATTCAACATATTTACAATCAGTACTGAATCATGAGATATTTAATGGACCAAGAACAATGACCGGCAGTTAGAACGCTGGACTTCATATGATAATTAGAGGCAAGTGAATTCCACATGTTCACTAGTTGTAATCGGAACCATTTTGTAAGAACTTTGTTGAGCACACACAGCCCAGTGTTTAAGTTAGACGGAACTCTGTGAGTACAGTCGAAGGTAATGTAATTGGAATTCGTAATGAGCGCGTGATAACGTACAGAAGAATCATTGTTCTATGCAAACATCTCATCCATCACAGCTCAGATGAATATTTGACTTCGCATCATTCTTCATACTTTCGTTTAATGTACTTCAGAGTATTTTTTTGTAGTAAGATTGAGTATTTTTTGAAAAAGGCTATATAATTTGGAATGAAAATCAGAAGGGGTTTTCATGGATATTTGAATCATATTTCGTTGGTTTGATTGGGATGCATGTAAACAATAGATTGATCAACATTGTTAAGCTGGATTCTAGTGGATTGTCGACGACCAGTTCCTTGATGGAGTGTAATGTCAGTAGATCGTAGATATTCCATGTTTGAAAGCGCTAATTGTGTCTAAGCATGTTTTGTTATTTCTTTATTCTCTTTACTGTTTGTCATTTCTGCATTGAACGCTACAAGTAATATATCTGGCAAGTCTTCAAACTTTGCAGCGACGTTCGCCCACAATCTGTAATTTAATTCTTTGTGTAATAAACTGTTTGACGGTTTTTACCGACGGAGGTTACTTCGTTTTTACACTTTCTTCATTGGGCGGCTGTCAT